TCTATAGCTATATCTAAAAGATGATATCTCAAGAGCAAGAACAACCAAAGAAAAAAAGGTAAAACTGTAAACACGGTTTCATTTACGTTGTTTATTGGAGACAATGAAAGGTGCAATATCTGTCATGTACCCTACCATCGCAAAACGACACTAAAAATAATGAAATAATGCTATAATCCCAAAGAAATCAGAAAAATATAACCACACTGAAATTTGAAAAAATCCCAGTGAAATAAGTGAACCTTTACATAATTTTATTTTCAAGGACATATCTTTCGTTAACATTATGAATCATTCCCATTAAATGCAGAGTTATTTTAGGTTCTATGTATTGATCGATTTACCAGCATTGCATGTGATCCGTCACATGTCAAGTTTTATAACAGGAGGTCATCGAGAACAATTGAAAGAAAGATAAATAAATATATAAATTCATGGGCAGCATACAATGCATTACAACGGAGCAAAACGTACACAAGAAATGTAGCTATTGGTGACAATGGTCAAAGGGAGGTAATTGCAATAGATATATATTTCAGCTATATGCAAAATGTATATATATAATACAATATAAAAATGATGCATAGTCATTTATATTGAAAGAATGTATGATTGCACAATAATACAAACTAAAGAAGAACTAAACAGTAATTGTATTTGATTTGTACAAAAAAGGGCATCATCATACAATAAACACATACATGCATTCATATTACATAATTTATAAATTTGAAGAATATTTGTGTTTGAAGTTTAATATTTTTGTATCAAATAAGATTAAACTATATAGAAATAGGATCAGTGTAAAACAGAATACTTAGGATGGACAATGTTCGTGAATATTTGGTTACTTATTAGTGAAAATCTTAAACATATAGCGGCTTTAATATATTTTGCTAGAATTGTTATTACCATATAATTTGTATTTGTTAGGTGCCGAATTTCGGCCCAAAGTTGGTCTAAAATTAGACTGCAAACTTTTTGCAGACCACAATAAAATTGAATGATATTCTGTCATAAACGGGCACATGATAAAATCTGAGTCCAGGGCATCATTTTTTGACGCGTGCGACTGGTTAAGGAAATGGCAAGTAATTTAGAATAATAAAAAGAATGCACATTAGGCAAGATTTTAATATACCCTGTATTTTTTACTCAAGCGATAAACTCTGTAAAATACAACTGGTAAATGAAGAAAAAAACCTGGGCGTGATCTACCTACCTACCTACCTACCAACCTACCTTATACCTACCTATTTATCTATCTATCTAGGTGCTGATCTATTTGTCTTTGCAATACACTCCTCCACTCTAGGGAATAAAGCAAGGCCGATGGCCGAGACACTTAAAGATCCTATAACTACATTTTTATGATGTTTTATCATTTATATAATGCTCAAATGAGGATTTATCAATATTGTAAGTTCCAAAAAGCATCATTTGTAAAAAAAGATATTCTCGAATTAACATTTTCATGGTAATAAAGGGAGGTTATTAGAATTTTATTTTGTTCTAGAAGCATAATTATATGCATATATATACTTTCACTCAAATGTAGTAACAATTTAGCCTTAATTACTACATACAGCTAGGATCTTTAATTGATGTGCAAGCTAGCGGGCAGCACGACACTGCATGCACGGGCTCAATCTGCTAAATGATAGCTCCTTTGTATGCTGACCAGACACTGGGTATCTTGTATGCTGTACCTTTAAGTGGTACAGAGTGGACCTTGGTGTTTCGTCGCAGAAACGCTAGTGTTTGGTGTGCTTTTAAGCTCACGTGAGCATGCTCAGGGTGAGTTTTTTAGGATCGTTGAATGTCCGTTGTCCGTCCACATAATTTTTTCGTTAGTTACACTCTAGCGGTCCGATTTTTGCCTCAATCATCATCAAACTTTGTCAGGATGCTTGTCCAGGTAATTGTTCCGATGAGTTCGATCATGGGTTATCTCGGATGAAAAAACTAGGTCACAGGAACTAAAAATAGAAAAATCTTCTTAACACTCTAGTGTCTACTGTTTTGATCTAAATATCCTGGAAATTGGTCTTAAAGTTTGTTTTAATAACTCCAAGGTCAAGTTTGAATATGGGTCACCTGGGGTGAAAAACTAGGTGACACCGCCCAAATAAGGTAATACCTTAATAATACTCTAGTGGTCACATTTTTGACTCCATTGTTATCAAACTTGGTCAGAATGCTTGTCTAGGTAATTGCACGGTTCGAAAAGTTCGAACATGGGTCAACTGGTCAGATGAAAAACTGGGTCACAGGAGCTAAAAATAGAAAAATCTTCTTAACACTCTAGTGGCTACAGTTTTGATCCAAATATCCTTGAAATTGGTCTGAAAGTTAGTTTTAATTACTTCTAGGTCAAGTTTGAATATGGGTCACCTGGGGTGAAAAAATAGGTGACACCGTCCAATTATGGAAAAACCTTGTTAACACTCTACGCTGTTTCTCAATAATGATATTCAATGGGGTATGCATACCGCATTTCTAGTCTGATATTGTGACCAAGGTATTTGCTGGTGGGACTGATTCTAGGATGGTATTGTTCAAAGTATATTGTGTTGGTATTTGTGTCTTCTGTTATGTGATCTGAATGACTTCACGTTTTGAAGGAATTATTAGATGTACATTCACTTAGCTTTTATTGTAATTTAGCCTACAATACTACTGGCTGAAGAGGGCTTACATCTAACTCCTCACAGTCATTTGATTGGCTTACGCTCAGATCAATGTAGCGAAGCGAAGGGAGACAACTGCGTCGGTTTCAAGGTTTCAAGGTTTATTTGAATACGTCAGGGCCCATATGGGCATGTGACAACATAAAACAGTACATACATACAAAATAATACAAAATGGCAAATGATATGTAAAAACAAAATACTACAAAATGGCAAATTATAAATGGTCATACAACTCCATGATTAAATAAAATTACAGTAATAATTGAACGGAGTTGACTGGTAATGAAGGATGAGAGAGAAAAATTAAAAATCATTGCGAGAAAAAACAAAGAGAAAAGACATAAGTCTACCAAGCTAACATTGTTTAAATTATAACATAATATTTTTGCAAAATATGGCAAGTTTCAAAAGGATATCCTTATTACTATGGTTCATTAATTTTTCAAATTTTAAAGCACTTGCATGGACGTTCATAGAAATATTTATCAAGATACAGCTTTCTTGTATTAACTAAATGTGAACATTCAAAAAGATAATGGAATTCGTCGCCTAAAGAGTTACTGGTACATAGGTTACAAGTTCTAAGTTCTCTTGGAATATCATCAAACCTTCCTTTTTCAATAGGAAGTTTGTGATTCGTACTTCTAAATTTAAAGAGAATTAAAGCTAAATTCATAGGTAACTTAATTGCTGAGGTATGGCTCAAAACAAAAATCCTGTTTTTAAATCCTGTAATTTAGACATTTACTGGAATTATTAATTGTACTTCTCCAATTTTGCATAAAATGATTACGCAGTCTTAAGTTGACAGTATTCTTGAATGAAGCAGGAGATTCCACGTTTTGATTTATCCAAAAATGCGACAATCCAAGATCATTTGAATTATTTCGAACAAAACAGACCCACTCTGATTTAATATTATTCAGAGTATATAAATTATGAGTTGTTCTATATATAGAATGCTGATTATCTTATCATGTTTAGAATTAACTATTTTACCCCAGTAATTGAGAATCTACTTTTAATTTGTGTTGATAGTGGGGTAATACCCAACTCCCCATAAATCATAACATTTGGAGTACTCTGTTTCAACTGTAGAATTATCTTTAGGTATTTTAATTGAAATTTATCCACAACACTCACATCTTCAACACCCCAAACTTCACACCCATACAACAAAATTGGTGCTATCATTGTATCAAGCAAGTACGTGTATTATGGACTAACCAGTTCTCAAACCTCTAAGCATTCAAGAGGTCTGTTAGTATAAATAGGAATATATCTTTATAAAAATTATTTACATATGTACACTTTAATCTTTATGTAACATTTCTGTAAAATTTGACTGAAATTCAACAATTAAAAAGGCTCTATTTCCATCTTGGAAAAGCATAACCCTCTCTTTTAAAACTGACATGGCCTCTTAAAATAAAGAACCTAATCTCAAACCCCTTCAAGTATCTCTAAAATTCTACTGTTGAGTTTAGCCAATGAAGTGATTGTTATATGACTATCACATGACAATGAAGTTCCCTACAGGATGCAGGTACCTGCTTTAAGATATTTTTGTCTCTAATATTCAATTTCACAAATAGTTAATGGTGTAATAATGGGACTTACAAAGGTAATAGCAATGTGTATGAAATTACGCTAAGAAATAAAATATGTTATGTAAATATTTGTTCCTATGCACTGTTTTCATTTGACATCAGCAGAAATGTCTATCAGAAACTAAGCTTTTATGCACACAAGTTCAGGACATCATAGTCACTTATATTAGAAAAATAACAGCACATGAATGAAAGGTTTGAGAATAGGTTGGGTGTGAGATTAGGTACTTATACGATAATTGCATATCTATTGGTAAATTAAGTATCCTAGATTTCCTAGCTAATGTAACAGAAATTAAACATGGCTTTACGGGCTTGATCAATAACGAATGTTTTAGTTCTGCTGAATTTACCATTAAATGAAAATTGGACACCCAAATATGAGAAATGCTCAGCAATTTCAAGGACAGTCCCTTCATAGTGAAAGTTAGGTATATTACGCAAACCTCTTTTGGTTTTCCAAAATATAATAACTTTGGTTTTATTTGTATTTACTTCAAGATTCCAAAGCTTGCAGTAGTCAGACATAGCGTTTAATGCTAGCTGAAGCTGCTGAGCGCTCTCTGACAATATTACAGTGTCATCTGCGTATAATAGTAAATACAGTTTAAGATAAACTTCCATTTCATCATCACTTAACATATCATTTATATGTGAGTTTGGGTGTTCCAGGTTCAAATCAAGTTGTGGTGTTCAACCTGTAATAAAATGGCGACTTCCTTTGCAAAATCCATAGCGATTCGGTTCCAAACCGTTAAGCGAGCTAGAAAAACGGTTAAACTCGTTGAGACAGTTACAAGAGGCTATGCACAAGTATCAGTAAGTGTATTATACTTTATGCAATGACAAATTGCACAATTACACAACAAATTGACGTGAATCGCACTTAAGATCATTCGTACTCAAGAAAGATCGACCCTTTACAGAAACATTTTTGGATGACGTTTTACTTTTTTCTGTATTATGCAAAGGCAGTTAAAATAATTGTTATACAGAAATTTTCATGAGTTTTTAAATTCTGTTTTCAATATAGCATTGGTGTATCTTCAGCAGAATCCAAATACATTGTAATTTCACCATTGAATGATTGATACGTGATAAAAATTATCAAACTTCAAGTTGTAACTGTCATATTTTTATGAGCACATGTCTACAAAATTAAAGCTAGCCACTTCCTTGTCCGAAAGGGGACCCAGTGCCTTCTCAATCAGTCAGTGTTTTGAGATAGGGGATCATGTTCTATAGTATAAAGTTAGGGGCATAGCCTACACGGATTGACAGTTTCCAAACTAGCCGATTTATAACAGGCTATCCTTATCAGGACAATTGAGAGTAAAGAGAACTGGTTGCGCATCTCTCTGTATAAAATGTATGTAAAATGATCTGACTTGTGGTAGGTTTAACTTTAACCTTAAATAATCAAGTAAATTTCAATACATTTAGTGACAAACAATGTGTGAAATTTAACCAGAGATGAACCTAAGATCACAAGCTTTTTATTGGCGTAATAAATTATAATTATTCATTAAGTCGCCCCAAACAAACTGGCAGTTTAAAAATGCCTAAATTTGCATTGTTTTAGCATTAGAGATATCGTTTTTACTCGAAGATAAGGGAAACAATTTGTATTTTTTCACCTGATTTACCTAGGTTATTTACGTAGTTCATATAGAGACTGTCAATGGGTTTATTGGCATAGCTTTCTCTTCTTCCAATTGGAAAATTGATGAAGCTGAAGACCACTGGCAAAGAACATCTAAAAAGAAAACAAGAAATGAAGCTGATACCATTAGGCCATGTTTAAAAGTCTCTGGGCTCCCTGGTAATAAGTGTTTATTTACTGAATGACGGGCATAGCCATTGTCATTAATATCAGATTATTTTGAAATAATAATTATATTGAATTGATAATTTTTTCATAAATTCATATAAAAACCATTTGTTAAGTAAGGGACGTTAAAATCTTACACCAGTTGGCAGACTTCCTGAAAGTTGAAAAAACTGTCAGACATTCGGTCTGACAAACCATGAAAATCTGTCGGACCGCAACGAAATCTGTCAGACCGAATAAAATTGATCAAAATCAAAGAAAAACTTGTGTTTGTATTTCTAAGACACTTTTTGGTTTTAATTTTTTCGCCGTAAAAATTGGCACTTTCCGTTCAGCGCATTTTCATCTCCTCCCTGTCATACACCAACGATTCATGGTCCTGCTTCCATTTGTCCTTGAATTTTGTCTCAGGTCTATTCTTTTCATCCTTTTATTGCTGTTCTGCGCGCTCCTCTGACGTAGATTTTCAATTTTTCCAAGGTTTGGCACCTTTAGCGACGCCATTTTGTATACATGCGGCTTCCATAAAAGCCGGACAGTCGGACCGATCCGGAATAAAAATCGTCCGACCTGATCAAAATGTATCGGACATGTCCTTCGGACCGACGTATTTCAGGAAGTCTGAGTTGGCATATATACATGTATCTTATTTACACTGTTTACCTTTTCACAATGATCATTTAGACTTTATGGCAGCTCTTGCACCTGATAGGATGTAAAGATAAGGCAAATATTTATATATCTGTAGTTGCTTTGGCTGACATCTACATCAGAGTATTGTGAAAACATACTGTTGAATTCTTTAAAGTTTTATAAAACTTTGTAACTTTAATCTGCAGAAAAATATGTTTTACCTTATATAGATTGCAGGTTTGCCATCATTTGTGAAAGTTGTGGAAGTTGGTCCAAGGGATGGCTTACAGAATGAGAAAGAGATGGTGCCAACTGCTGCAAAAATAGAATTGGTCAATAGGTTGTCCCAAGCTGGACTGCCCAGTATTGAAGTTACAAGCTTTGTTTCTCCAAAATGGATACCTCAGGTTTGTAGATGTTAATATTTACTTTTAGACAGCTTTGACTGTACATATTCATTTAGGCCCAATAGTTTTGCTTGATAAAATTTCAAAAAGCATTGGAATCACAGACTTTAGTTACTGATAAGCTCCGCCTCCATAGCATGCTACATGTAACATCACTTGTGTATTAAATCTTGGAATATTAAGACGTACTCTTGTTGTCTCTTCTAGTTCAAATTATACAATAGTATACTTTACTGGACATCTCATTTGAGATATAATATTCTTGATAATATACTTGTCACTAAAACAAAACAAACAACATGGTGTCAGAAAAAAATGGAAATAAATTTTTATTAACTGAAACTAAAAAAAAAAAAAAGTGAACAAAATGGCACTCTCTGGAATAAACCCACCAAACATGAACTGGGACAGTGTTAATCTACCTACAACTTGGGAAAAATTTGAACGAAATGTTAAACTAATATTCAGTGGACCCCTCAAAGAAAAATCAGAAGAAGAAAGGATTTCATATCTACTAATATGGGTAGGAGAAAAGGGGCAAGACATTATGCAATCATGGAATTTAACCGCAGATGATAGAAAAAAGATCGATACGTACTTCACAAAATTTCAAAACCACGTTCAACCTAAATTAAACCCAATTTTTGCTAGGTACCAATTCAACAACGAAAGGCAGGGTGATGAAAACATAGACTAATTCATCACAAAACTAAAATTGAAAGCCAATGAATGCAGATACCAAGAAGGAACAAAGGACGAAATGATCAGAGATCGAATTGTTTTCGGGGTAAATAACCAAAGACTGAGAGAAAAATTAATTAACGAAGGAGTTTCCTTAACATTAGACAAGGCAATCCAAATCTCACAAAATTTCGAATACTGTAAAAAGCAAATGGACATTCTTAACCCCAAGCAAGACATAAATTACGTCAAACATGGACGAAGGCAAAGTCGTGCCAAACCGGAACAAAGCGCTGCCAGGATCGACACAAAACAGAAGTCTCAAACAACTACCTGTAGAAATTGTGGAACATACCATGACATCACTCACAGAAAGAAATGTCCGGCATATGGACAGCAGTGCAAATCATGTAAAAAGTACAATCATTGGGCAAAAGTATGCCGTTCAAACAAACAGAAACATGTTCATGAATTGTCGAACAATTTAAGTGAAAATAGTGATGATTCTTGTATGGATAACTATTTCATTGATACGGTAAGTCACAAAACATCGCCAGCCCCAGATCGCGCGTTTGTTGACATTAAGATTGGCCCGAAATGCCAAAACATTAATTTCAAACTTGATACAGGGAGCAGCGTTAACATACTCTCTAAGCGCAAATTTGAATCGCTCAACATGAGAATCCCTTTGCAGGCCCCCGATTCTCAACTTATCTCTTACTCAGGTGATACAATAAAAGTTATAGGAAAAATCAGTTTAACCTGTAGCTATCGTACCGTGCAAGTTACTGTAGACTTCTATGTCGTTAACAGTGACGCACCACCGCTTATAGGATTACAGACATCCATTGACCTTGGGTTAATTAAACTCACATATGACATAAACTGCCAAAATACTCAGTACATGACTAAAGAGTCAGTAATGTCTGAGTACGGTGATTTGTTCAGGGGTGTAGGCATACTCCCTGGTAAAAGCAAATTACACCTGCGTGATGACGCTATTCCAGTAATTACACCTCCGAGACGTGTACCGGAAGCGCTCAAATCGCGACTTAAGCTAGAGCTTGAGCAAATGGTCAAAGACGAAATTATAACGCCAGTAACGGAACCTACGGACTGGGTACACCCTATTGATGTGGTCGAAAAACCGAACGGAAAATTACGTATTTGCTTAGACCCAAAACAGCTCAATGACGCAATACGTAGACCTCATTATGTCACATCAACACTTGATGACGTAACAGCAAAGCTCGCTGGAGCTGAATACTTTAGCATGTTAGATCTTACTCATGCATATTGGTCTGTACAACTAGACGATCAATCGTCTTGCGCCACAACCTTCGCTACTCCTTTCGGTAGATATAGATACTTAAGGTTACCATACGGTATATCATCATCAAGTGATATATTTTGTCAAAAGGTCAATCAGATATTCGAAGGAATAAATGGAATACACCCTCTTGTTGATGATATTTTAATATGGGGAAACACGCAAGGTGAACATGACAAACGTCTAACACAGATTTTATTACGTGCGCGCGAGCAAGGTATCAGGTTTAATGAGCAAAAATGCACAATTGGCGCCAAATCAGTACCATTCTTTGGTCATATCATTACGGAAAGTGGGTTAAAGGCTGACCCGTCTAAGATTGAAGCAATTATAAAATTGCCAATCCCCAATAACAGCGAAATGGTCTAAAGGCTTTTGGGAATGGTCAATTATCTCTCTAAATTCGCGCCAAATCTAGCAGAAGTTACAGCCCCCTTACGGAGCCTCTTGAAAAAAGATACAGAGTTCATATGGGATCATGTTCATGACCGAGCATTTTCTCAAGTCAAATATATTATAACACAGGCACCAGTATTAGGTTACTATGACCCGACAAAGCCGCTTATACTGGAAACGGATGCTTCAAAATTCGGAGTCGCTTGTTGTTTATTTCAAGACAATAGACCTATTGCATTTGCAAGCAAAAGCCTGACGCAAACTGAAATCGGTTATGCTGTCATTGAAAAAGAAATGCTTGGAATTTTGTTCGGATGCAAACGGTTTCATCAATTCACTTATGGTAGAGAAGTTATCGTACATTGCGATCACAAACCAATATCTGCCATTATGAAAAAACAATGTCCGCAGCACCGCCTAGGTTATCTAGAATGCTACTAGCTCTGTCTTAGTATCAGTTAATCGTAAAGCACATTCCTGGTAAAGAAATACCAGTTAGTGACTGCCTATCACGCCAAAGTCTCCCTGATACATACTTAAATATGTCAGACGAGCTTGATAATTACGTGCATACCGTTCAAAAACAATTGCACATTACCGACCAACGAATAGAAAATATTAGCGCCGAAACGTGCAAAGACGCACAAATGAAAATTCTGAAAAAGACTATATTAAACGGTTGGCCAGAATCTAGATCAATGTGCGAGCAATCAATCCTTGATTTCTGGAACCACCGCGATGAGATAAGCGTAGAAAATGACCTGATATTTCGAGGTCATACGATTGTAATACCGAAAATTTTGAGAAATGAACTTGTACAGAAAGTTCATACAGGTCACATGGGAATTACGAAAACACTTGAACGTGCTAAAGATTCAATATTCTGGCCAGGCATGTCCAAGCAAATTAAAGAATATGTTAGCAAATGTAGCATATGTCTTACATACCGAGACGCAAACACAAAAGAACCGCTTATGACTACAGAATTCCCCGACAGACCTTACCAAAAAATAGCAGCAGACCTGTTCCATTTTCAAGGTAAAGAGTATCTATTGACTATAGATTATTATTCACGATTTTTTGAAATAGACCATTTACAAAACTCAACATCAAAAACAGTCATTCTGAAACTTCAGAAACACATGTCGAGACTGTCAATACCTGAAGTCTTTGTCTCAGACAATGGTAATCAATTTTCAAGCTCCGAATTCAAAGAATTCGCTAAAGAGTGGGGTTTCGAGCACAGAACTTCATCCCCCGGATACCCCCAGTCGAACGGTCTTGCGGAAAAAGGCGTAGGTATCGCAAAAAAACTAATGCAAAAGGCTAAAGATACAAACACAAACATTTACATTGCATTATTAGAATATCGTAATACACCTCTTGAATGCGGATATTCTCCGAGTCAACTGTTAATCGGCCGGAGAACTAAATCCGTTGTGCCAGTTACAAATAAAGCACTGGTACCCATTTTAGTAAATAACTCAAAAGTGCGCAGTCTAATGAAAAAATCGAAAGACAAACAAAAGGTCAATTACGACAAAAATGCAAAATATTTGCCACCTTTGTCCTTGAATCAATCAGTACGCATAAAAATAGGAAAAACTTGGAAACGCGGGAAAATAGTAAAAGTACATAGTGACCGCTCCTATCATAAACAACTTGCTGACGGCAGCATATATCGGAGAAATCGGTCAGTATTACGCAAAAGTCCGGAAGACACAACCGATATTGAATCATTTCATGCGCAAGTCTTATATCATGATAAAAATTCAAGTACCCCTGAATTACCTCTCGAGGAAAATAACTCATCTCAGGAACAAAATGACCCGCCGATGAACTCGCGTGCTAGAACAAGGGCTGGACGATTGTTGCGTGGCAATCCGAAGTATGATAATAATGAATGGGTTAGATAATAACAGTTATTGAAAATAATGAGTTTAAAGTATTTTGTTATCACAGTAATATACAGTGACTATCAAAAAAATAAAGAACTAAACTATGTCACGTAGAGAAAATTAATAAACAGTTCAATCAGTATTATTGAAATTAGCTATGAATATTATTTTCTAAGCATGCATTATTATTTAATAACATAAATGATTTAAAATAAAAGAAGGAGATGTTCTATATTGATATATATTGAAACAGACTTTAGTTACTGATAAGCTCCGCCTCCATAGCATGCTACATGTAACATCACTTGTGTATTAAATCTTGGAATATTAAGACGTACTCTTGTTGTCTCTTCTAGTTCAAATTATACAATAGTATACTTTACTGGACATCTCATTTGAGATATAATATTCTTGATAATATACTTGTCACTAAAACAAAACATACAACAGTTTTTAGCTCGACTATTCGATAAGAATAAGTAGAGCTATTGCAGTCACCCGAGCGTGGGCGTCGGCGTAACCACTTATGTTAAAGTTTTTGTAATAGTTCAAATATTTTCAAAGTCCATAGACATATGGCTTTGAAACTTTGCACACTTGTTCACCATCATGACCCCAACCTGTAGACAGGAGGAGGTTTTTCTATCAAGCATTTTGACAGAATTATGCCCCTTTTTCGACTTAGAATTTACGTTAAAGTTTTTGTAATAGTTAAAATATTTTCAAAGTCCATTGACATATGGCTTTGAAACTTTGCACACTTGTTCACCATCATGACCCTAACCTTTAAACAGGAGGAGGTAACTCTATCAAGCATTTTGACAGAATTATGCCCCTTTTTCGACTTAGAATTTACGTTAAAGTTTTTGTAATGGTTCAAATATTTTCAAAGTCCATTGACATATGGCTTTGAAACTTGACACACTTGTTCACCATCATGACCCCAACCTGGAAACAGGAGGAGGTAACTCTTTCAAGCATTTTGACAGAATTATGCCCCTTTTTTGACTTAGAATTTACGTTAAAGTTTTTGTAATGGTTCAAATATTTTCAAAGTCCATTGACATATGGCTTTGAAACTTTGCACACTTGTTCACCATCATGACCCCAACCTGTAAACAGGAGGAGGTAACTCTATCAAGCATTTTTTTTACGATCAAGCACTAAGAATAGTCGAGCGTTGCTGTCCTACCGACAGCTCTTGTTTAGATATCTTAAGAATTGCATTGGGCTCATATTGTGCTGTACCTTCTTAGATGAAATTCTGAATATTAAAATAAAGAAATTGTTATGTTAATACTCTATGAAAATTATTTGGGGAGCACAAATAGTGCCTACATGTAACTACCAGTATTATAGTTTGTTGTGCTGTCATACTTTTTGCACAGCATCTTTATTTATTGACAGATAACAATGTTTTTTCCACATTGCTTTGCAATGTATTGTTACTTGAAGCTGGCCACTTCAGCATTGAGAAAAACTCACTTATGTCACCGATACTTTTGTTTACTATAATGTTACTGCCATGCCTAATTTAAATGTATAACAGGTGGCTACAAAATGTCATATGATAAGAGTTAATGTTGAATAGTTTTATGCTTAGTGACTTGAAATTTAACTTACCTTAGAGATATACTATGCTCAAATTTGATATTTGAAACTATATTTAATTGCTACACAGTCTCTTTTTTATACGCCCGTTTGAAAAACGGGACGTATTATGGGAACGCCCCTGGCGGGCGGGCGGCGTCCAATTTTGTCCGGAGCATATCTCCTACATGTATGGAGGGATTTTAATGAAACTTCATATAAATGTTCACCACTATGAGGAGCAGTGTCGCGCACATGAACCAGGTCTCTAGGTCAAAGGTCAAGGTCACACTTAGAGCTCATTGAAAAATGCTTGTCCGGAGCAAAACTTCCACATGTATAGAGGGATTTCAATATTACTTGGCACAAATGTTCACCATTGTGAGGCGGAGTGTCGGGTGCAAGATTCAGGTCCTTGCGGCCAAGGTCAAGGTCACACATAGAGGTCAAAGTTCAGATAAAAATATGAAGATGTGTATATGGACCATTTAGTCATCATTTATTGAGGGATAGTAACACAAATGGTCATTATCAAGACTATGGCTGTGATACATATAATTTAGGTCAATATATACAAGGTCAAGGTCACTAAAGATGATGAAATATCCAGATTTTGTAAATAGAATTTAATCAAAGGGAGACAACAAAGTTATTACTTTGTTCATAAATGACTTACACAATTACTCCCCTTGATCTATTTTCACTTTCAATTCTAAAAATAGAATTTAATCAAAGGGCATGAAATAATCCTCTTTCTTGGACTTGAGTATGTTCTAAAGAATGTAACATTTATTTACACATGTTTCATTCATTGGTCAAGATTCTTAACTGTGATAACTATGGTGTTCTGTAGACTTGGTATTTGTTCATAAAGATCATACAGTAATTACCTTATCAAATGTAAATACTTTCTCATAGAAATTTAATTATATTTTAATTTTCAAGTAAATATCAGTTCAGCTCATTCAAAGATTAAGAATTGTAATGAAATGTATTTCCCTAGAATAAAATCTTAAATCAGAATTTTTTAGTTATTAAATTACTTGTACTTTTTATATGCCCGTTTAAAAAAAGATAAAAATATGAAGATGTGTATAGGGACGATTTAATCATCATTTATTGAGGGATTGTAACACAAATGGTCATTATAATGACTACGGCTGTGACACATGTACATTAGGTCAATATATGCAAGGTCAAGGTCACTAAAGATGGTGAAATATCCAGATTTTGTCTGGAGCATATCTCCTACATGTATGGAAGAATTTTTATAATACTTTATGGAAATGTTCACCACCATGATATGTATTGCTCCATGCATGATCCAGGTCTCCAGGTCAAAGGTCAAGGTCACACTTAGAGCTCATTGAAAAACGCTTGTCCGGAGCAAAACTTCTACATTCATAGGGGGTTTTCAATATAACTTGGCACAAATGTTCATCATTGTGAGGCTGAGTGTCGCATGCAAAATTCAGATCCCTGCGACCAAAGTCAAGGTTACACATAGAGGTCAAAGTTCAGATAAAAATTTGAAGATGGTTATAGGGACCATTTAGTCATCATTTATTGATGGATTGTAGCACAAATGGTAACTATCATGACTACAGGTGTTACACATTTAATTTAGGTTAATAGTGGAAGGTCAAGGTCACTGGAGATGATGAAATATCCAGATGTTGTCCGGAGCATATTTTCTACATGCATGGAGGAATTTTAATGTTACTTTTATAGAATTGTTCACCACCATGAGACGTAGTGCCCTGCACATAAACCAAGTCTCTAGGTCAAAGGTGAAGGTCACAGTTAGAGCTCATAGAAAAACACTTGTCTGGAGCAAAACTTCTACATGCATAGAGGGATTTCAATATAATTTGGCACAAATGTTCATCATTGTGAGGCTGAGTGCCGTGCATAAAATTCAGGTCCCTGCGACCAAGGTCAAGGTCACACATTCAGTGCATATCTTCCCTATTGATTTGTTTTAAGGTTCATTTAACAACACAGTGCCAAGAATAAAAACTTGCTTGCTAGATAACACTTATCCATAATGCCCCCATCTCCATCTAAAGCTTTTTCGTAAACGGGCGTATTTTGTGACTATGGCACCCTTGTTTATGTATAAAACTAACAATCATGTTTTGACTTCACATAAAGTAAAGAAATGTTTTAAACTCTACACACTATAGGTAAATGCAATATGAATATATAGTGTCATTAACAAAACTGGCAGTTTGTTTTTTAAACAAGGACCAACTTTACTTGACCCGTTATAGGGAATCCTGTGCATTATTTGTACATTCTTTTATACAAAATATTCAGTGAGTATTTCATAGATTTTAATAAGTTTCTGCGATTAAAGAATTTTACTCAGAGGTCAGCCTAGTATATATCTTAAACTTAATTTAACTTATCTTTAACTAATTGTAACTTATATTTGACTTATTTGAACTTATCTTTGACTTATCTTTACTTATCTTAGCTTATCTTAATCTTATCTTTAACTTATCTTTAACTTATCTTCATGTAGATGGCAGATCATGGTGATGTTATGAGAGGCATAGAAAGGCATAAAGACATTGTTTACTCAGCGTTAACACCAAACCTGAAGGGATTTGAAGCTGCGGTAGGTTGTCTGTGTTTTGTTTTTTTACTTTCAATTTGTTTCTGTGTCACTATAATCAGGGATATATTCACATTATCTGTTACGGTGCATCAAAGTTGTGTATTCCTTAACATGAGTCATGACTGCATATTGAATTTGAATATATATATATATGTACATGTATTGTTATTTACTTGTCAGATTTTAAGAAATCACTCTAAACATGTATATATATTTGTACAGTATTTGCCAGATTTATATATATTTGTACAGTATTGTGCATTACTTTTGTGTACACGATTATCTTGAAGGACAAAGGTTAAGCATTTAGGTTGGAGACATAAACCCATGCGGTAATGTTAACACAATTGGTGCTTATATTTCAGTTAGAGGCTGGCGTTAATGAGGTGGCTATATTTGGCGCTGCTTCTGAAAGCTTCAGCAAGTGAGTAGCTTATACATCATTCTTTCAATTTTTGGTTTATACAGACTTTATTTTAGTTTGATTGTGTAGGAAGCTATAAGCTTATAGAAACACTTTCTAATCCGTTCCTGGAATCAACCAGTACAGTGAGCAATGTGTGAAAAGTTCCTTGCTCAAGGAAGCAGTGACTTGTTCCTGACTGGGTTTGAACCCATGCAGCTTACGATCATTAGGTTTCTAGACTCACATGTTAATTAACCACTCGGCCATGCTGCCACTTAACATTTGAGAGATGGCATGGTTTAATTCTAACACGGTTTATGTAATATGATGACTTTCAAACTTCACCAGTGTAGAAAAACCTTGAATATCCCTCTCAGTGTTGTATCAGGCACAAACAAATTCACCAAATTGCCTGAAACCAAAATGAATAGCTTTCTAACATCAACAACAATGTCCCTAATGAAATTCTAGCCATGTTGTGAGGGGCATGTAATTCTAAGTCAGAACTTTTAATCAATCTAGCTACTAATACACTATGTACTTGCAGTATTTGACTAACATGAGAGCTATAAGTCTATTTTTACAGAAACGGAAGAAAACACCTTATTCCCTTCTGTTTATTACAGATATCTAGCTGTCTTGAATCTAGAGTTTTCTGTTTAGGCATTTCTCTATTCAGAGAAAAACTCCATTTGATATTTTCATCTTTTTAGCTGGACTATTTGATAAGAATAAGTAGAGCTATTGCAGTCACCCGAGCGTCGGTGTCAGTGTCGGCGTCTGCGTCGGCGTAACCACTTATGTTAAAGTTTTTGTAATAGTTCAAATATTTTCAAAGTCAATTGACATATGGCTTTGAAACTTTGCACACTTGTTCACCATCATGACCCCAACCTGTAGACAGGAGGAGGTAACTCTATCAAGCATTTTGACAGAATTATGCCCCTTTTTCGACTTAGAATTTATGTTAAAGTTTTTGTAATACCTCAAATATTTTCAAAGTTCATTGACATATGGCTTTGAAATTTTGCACACTTGTTCACCATCATTACCCCAACCTGTAAACAGGAGGAGGTAACTGTATCAAGCATTTTTTTTTACTATCAAGCACTAAGAATAGTCAAGCGTTGCTGTCCTACCGACAGCTCTTGTTACTTGTATAATTGTATATATCAAGGGTTTGACCGCAAAATTACAGTAACTTATATGAAATACAACACTTACAACAGTGTTGCAATCAACCCTCGAATAATAATATTTCGTACATTGAATCTATTTATAATGTTGGTATGAAAGAACTATTATATCATTCACATTTCAGGAAGAATATAAACTGCTGTATTGAGGAAAGTTTGAACAGATTTGATGCTGTCATGAATGCAGCAAAGTCAGCAAATATACCTGTAAGAGGGTGAGAGACATCATTGTTCTTTACTTATTTATTTTCTCTGATCATTTTATTACCTTGTTTCAAAGTAGTATTATTAAAACTATTTTGATAGCAGCATTGCCATGGTCGTCATAGTGCAAAAACTGTGTTTTCCTAGAACTTGCCATAAGGTTATGATAACAATTTATTTTTACTGTTTTTTGAATTTTATTAAATTTTTCATAAGATGAACACAATACGCTTTATACCATTTAATGAAGGTGCATAGCTAAGTGAAAAGTATATCTAGATAAAATCTTGAACATTCACAATCACGCAGTTATTCATCAAAACAAAATGTGAATTCTTTTACAGCCATAACACCATGAAATTGAATTTCATATTTATTCTTTTAGTCTTTGCCCTCAAGAGACAAATGTTATCACCGCATTCTCATATTTTATCAAACTCGTATCATAAAACAAACTAACTAGACTTTTCCACCTGATTGTTTTGCCTATGTTTCTTACATTTTCAGTTATGTATCATGTGTATTAGGCTGTCCTTATGAGGGAGATATTGCAGTTGATAAAGTTGCACAGGTGATATTATTGTTCAGTTTGTTCTTAATGTAACAATGATCAAACTTAGGAATGCTACCAAGTTATAATAAATATAATATTGGGAATATGTACAGTCTCTAGATATATTCATGCCCACAAGTTTGCATTTAGTACAAACCGTAAGGTCAAAGAACAGATATCATTTGAAGGGGAAGTAAAACATGATGAAAGGGAAGTAACTGTGTCATTTTAGGAAGACAGAGTTACACTTCCTGTTATAATTTCAGCTTATGGTAAAACATTATTTCATCAAAGTAGCAGCATAAATGTGTTATAAGTGGAGTGCTTACAAATGGAAATAATCTGGTGTTTACAAAATGGAATAGGAATAAGAAATGATTATAATTTAAATTTACTCCTTAAAACACTTTGCTTAACTTTAGTCTGAACTTAAAAAGTCAGTTTTTTTTTTTTTTAAAGACATAAATTTCATCATTAAATTAATTAATTTTTTTCAGTTTTTTTACCTTGACAATTGCAAAGAATAGGGAGAGCTCTTGCACATTCTCAGGCATTGGTGTCTACTTTGCTTGCAAAACATGGATTTTCACTGTATAATGGCCCTTTATGAGGCTGTTTTATTATCAAGCACTGAGAATAGTCCTACCAACAGCTTGTGTTACCTTAAAACTGGTCGTATTTGAAAACAACAAAAAAACAGACTGCAACAAACAGTAGCAAAAAATGTGTTGTCATGACAACGAATTAATGTTATTTTTAGCTCACCTGAGCATATGCTCAGGTGAGCTATTGGGATCACTCTTCGTCCGTCGTACATTGTCCGTTCACACTTTTCAAACGACATCTCCTCTGAAACCATAAGGCAGATCATAATAAAACTTCACAGGGATGTTCCTTGTGTGAAGCCTTAACAAAGCCTTGTTCAAAGAATTCCATTCCATGCAGAACTCTGGTTGCCATGGCAACCAAAAGAAAAAACTTTAAACATCTTCTTCTAGATAAACAATTTTCTTTTAAAGAACCCAAAAAGCTAGAGCTAAGATATTTAGCATGAAACATCTTCTAATCAGTGTCTACCAAGTTTGTTCAAATAAAAGCCCTGGGGTCAAAATTGGCCCAGCCCCAGGGGGTCATTGATTTTCCCTATATGCATATAGTAAAAACTTAAAAAAATTTCTTTTAAAGATCCCAAAGAGCTAGAGCTAAGATATTTAGCATGAAACATCTTCTTATGGGTGACTACCAAGTTTGTTCAAATACAAGCCCTGGGGTCAAAATTGGCCCCGCCCCAGGGGGTCATTGATTTTCCCTATATGCATATTGTAAAAACTTAAAAAAATCTTCTTTTAAAGAACCCAAAAAGCTAGAGCTTAGATATTTGGCATGAAACATGTTCTAATGGATGTCTACCAAGTTTGTTCAAATAAAAGCCCTGGGGTCAAAATTGGCCCCGCCCCAGGGCGTCATTGATTTTCCATATATGCATATAGTAAAAACTTAAAAAAATTTCTTTTAAAGAACCCAAAGAGCTAGAGCTAAGATATTTAGCATGAAACATCTTCTAATGGGTGTCTACCAAGTTTGTTCAAATAAAAGCCCTGGGGTCAAAATTGGCCCCGTCCCCAGGGGGTCATTGATTTTCCCTATATGCATATAATAAAAACTTCAAAAAATCTTCTTTTAAAGAACCCAAAGAGCTAGAGCTAAGATATTAAGCATGCAACATCTTCTAATGAGTGTCTACCAAGATTGTTCAAATAAAAGCCCTGGGGTCAAAATTGGCCCCGCCTGGGCTGACATTGATTTTCCTTATATGTGTATAGCAAAAACTTAAAAGTCTTCTTTGAAAAAACCCGAATAGCTAGAGTTTAGATATTAAGTAGGGATGTCATTCGGAGTCCGGATATCCGAACGTTCGGATCACGATTCGGTGTCCGGAGCCAATTTTCGGATCCGGATGTTCGTAAAAAATATTTCAGAATATTGAGAAAATGTGATAAAAACATGCGTTGAGATAATCGGCGTAGACATGGTGTTGACACCATATTGTATATTGTACCTTAGTTTGACAATACAGGTCATAATATCTGCAGACCGCAAAAAAATCAATAATAACTATAATAATTACGAGTAAGATATGACACATGTTGTTAATCTATATTAAACACCAAACAAATATAAGTTTTGTTGGATTCAAGATGAATATTCCTGTGCGATTGTCATCGGCAACATTTTTTATGTCCAAATTTAAATATTTAATAAGGCTATTATTTTTATATATATTTCGGCTTACCGACCTGTCGACTCCTTATTTTGAGAAAATAAAAAATCGGCAGAAATATAATAATCAAACCAAGAAATGCACTTACGAATAATAATATGACCATTATCACATTTTATATTGAAATTGATATGATAATTATCCGACAAAATAACTTTCTACTTTAGTATTAATCCAACATATGCATTTTAAGAACAATTTATTCACAATTTTTTTCACTTATGAACACTTAAAATGTGTGTAATTCATGTAAGTTTCGGCAACTTCTTTGATGATTTGGAATCAAACAGCCAGGGCTACATGTTGGTAAACATCAAAGATTTGCAGTTTCTTTTGAAAAGCCGGCTACACATCTGTCAAAAGTCATTGTGTGTAAATTGTATAGATGTTATTGAACAATGGAAACATTACATTTATTTTTTTACGGGTGTTATTTTGTTTTCCCAAATGTGAGCGAGTGTTATTGTGTATTTATAAAGCAATGCTTGAGGAATTGAGACAATCGGCAATGAATTTCTTTTTCGTTTCTATTGAAATCGTATAAAGTACTATATTATGCACTAAATTTATCTATAAAGAAAAAATAAAATCAATAACGAAAAATTTTTTATTAAAAAGGAAGTAAAACGAAAGACTACACTTTGAAAAAGGTCGTGAAAAAATGGTTACGTCATATCAGCCAACAAAGAATATAACAAAGATCCGAACATCCGGATGTATCCGGATGTCTGATTCGGATATCCGGGTGGCCGTTTCGGCTCCAGATGATGTCCCTAATGTTAAGCATGAAACATTTTCTAGTAAGTGTGTACAAAGATTGTTCAAATAAAAGCCCTTGGGTCAAAACTGGCCCTGCCCCAGGTGTGTAATTGTTTTTAACTATATGTGTAAAGAAAAAAACTTGACCAGCTAGACCTTAGATGTTAAGCATGAAATATCTTCTAATGGGTGTCTACCAAGTTTGTTCAAATAAAAGCCCTGGGGTTTAAACTGGCCCCGCTCCGGGGGCCTATATACAGGTGAGCGACTTCAGGGCCATCATGGCCCTCTTGTTCATTCTAGGAGCATTATCCTATGCCGTACGGTACTATTTGCAGCATGTTCAATAAATTTTCTACATTTCAATAATTGTGAGATACATTTTATATTTTCACTGATGAATTTCAATATATTACTTAAACACACATGACAAAATTTATTTTTGTATTCGAAGGTTATATTTAAATGTTAAATTTTGTTGTAGGTATGTAAATCACTGTATGATATGGGATGTTACGAGATATCACTCGGAGATACTATAGGTGTTGGCACTCCAGGGGCGATGAAAAATTTGATCTCGGAAGTCTCGAAAGTGGTACCAGTACAGAAACTAGCTGTACATTGTCACGATACGTATGGTCAGGCTCTAGCTAACATTTTAGCAGCTTTACAGGTATATTATTATGATAGACTTAGTCCGGAATAAAATAATTTGGGTTTTCTCAGTTAATCAGGGAGTACAAACAAATTTTTAAAGTTACAGCTTCGATTGTTATGTGCAATATAGATTTTTGTGTGTGTCTTATTACTGAACAAGTGATATAGAAAACTCAAATATTGTCAAAGTATTGGTTGATACTTATAAAATCTCTACATTTATTGAAATCATGAATTTATTTTCTATTTTTCCTTTACTAAGGCAAATATTAGCCACCTGACCTACCTTGACCTAATCCTGTTCTCCCCTTGTGGGGCAAAGGACATCCACAACAGCTCTCCATCTGGGTTGGTTCATCGCCTGCACAGGTCATGTTCCAAGTTTTCAGCTCAGCGCCTATTGTTCGTCTCCAGGTGGTTGTTGGTCACATTAGCCTGGTAGTTTAGTATGGTAATTTTATAGTGAATATGGTATCATATTAGTAAAGGTTTCACACTGTATAACTGTCATAACTGATGTCAGGATATTGTTTTTTTATTGTAGATGGGGATAAGTGTGGTGGATAGCTCTGTAGCGGGACTTGGAGGGTGCCCCTATGCCAAGGGTGCTAGTGGAAATGTGTCTACAGAAGATGTTGTTTATATGTTACATGGTCTAAATATTAAAACAGTAAGGACTCTTGAAATAATAAGAAATATAAATAGATATTTTATTAAAGCATGACTGATATAATAAGAGTAATGATACTCAGTACTTTCTGCAAGCCATTGTGGTCATTAAAAAATACTAGCACAGAATTAGCTGCTAACTAGTTTTGTCAAACCATTCTACTCAAATGTTCTTTAAAATCAGTTTGGAGTGATTTAATGATGAGTACTTTCAAAGCTCAACTGGCTACATGATAATTGATGGAGAACACTGACTTTTGTACTTAATTACAGTGTAGTAAATATGATTTTATCTATATTGTTGGATATAGAGCTAGGCTAAAGCTCTATACTGATGACAAGGGCTAATCACTTTTGATTCCTGCAGAATAAGAGTGAAATAGGATTTGATAGAATTAAACTTTAAAGCTGCACACCTCCAGATGAACCAAAATATTTTCAAGAAAATCAAACATGAGAAAAAAAAGTACTGAGATTTAAAGAAAAAGAAAAATATTCAAGATAAAAGTAATGATTTCCATGTTATATGCAATTTATATCATATTTTTATGCATTAAAAGTATATTCAATTCATTTAAAGGATTGCACCAAATGGTTATTTCTCTTATTATTTCAGGGTATAAATATACAGAAGCTGATAGAAGCTGGACAATTTATATCTCGAACTCTTGGTCGACCAACACATTCCAAGGTTGCCCAGGCGACCAAATCATCTCTTTGAACAGCTGGACTTTTCATTATAGGAGTAGCATGTTATAAGAGTAGTAACAATATATTCAAGAAATAATATCTCCCAAACAGTGATTTAATCGCTCAATAAAATCACTATTTGTGGAGTTCAGATGCGAATAATTATATCATGAGGGTGCAGCCCGAGTGATATAATGATGCGTATCAGAACGACAAGCAGTGATTTTATCAAAAGATAAAATTTGGATATATTATTTTGATTCTAACACGACATCAACAAATAAATGCTGCCGTTCCTGATATTAAGCTCAACTGCGCCTGATTTGTTTCCGTACTTATTTTCAGCCCGTCAAATTTTTAGTGGTTATTACATGTATAATGATTATGTCACATGTCTAAATATAGGATGCTAAACAGTGATTTATTGCAAAATAACACACTTTTTCAGTTCTTCTATGTTCAATAGGGAAAAATGCGGTCGTGTTAGAATATATTATAAAGTCTAATCTTGTATGTTAAATATGATGTATATAAATTACATGAAATCTTACCTGCTAGGTTTATACATGCAATGAATTGTAAGGTATTAACAAATATTGGGAGTATTGTAGTATCCAGTTTTGAAACAGATTTTCAAAATTGTTGGGTAATAAGCTGGTTAATACTTGTTATAATCATATTAATTTTTGTTGGTTGTTACTTGTTGTGATTAGAATATAGAAGAAATGGTATTGTAAAAATTATTTGTGTCCATTAGATTTTAGGATGTAAGTTTGAAAGAACGTTATTTTACAAACTAGTTTAAACTTGTGTTTCAATCATATTTGTTGATTGTTACTTCTTAGGATTAGAATGTAGAACAAAAGAGATTGTAAATTTGTTTGTGTCTATTACATTTAAGCACATAAGTTTGAAAGAATGTTTACAAGGAATGATTGTTTATAAATGTTAAAATTTCGATGAATCATCATAAAAACAGTCATTGACTAGAATGTCACTTTTCTTATGATATAATATCATGAATTAGGCAACTGTGGGAACTAGTCATATTTTAAATACGGTGCATAATTTTCTAGCTTATAGCCAAGTCTCTTTGTTATTGATACAATATAATGAAACTGTTTATTTGTTTTGTTTTTTAATTGTTAAATGTTTTATAACTGTGAAAGGTATAAATTATAATGAGGACATTGTTCCCAGCACATAACTTTCAGCCACCAAGGTATTAATTTGTTATTGTTTTGAAATGAAACACGAAAGTTTCTACAGATTGTTAATATTTTTGCACTTGAATTATTTTTCTGATAAGAAGGGAAACTTAAGTTTTTAGCTCGACTATTCGATAAGAATAAGTAGAGCTATTGTAGTCACCCGAGCTTCGGCATCCGCGTCGGCGTAACCACTTATGTTAAAGTTTTTGTAATAGTTCAAATATTTTCAAAGTCCATTGACATATGGCTTTGAAACTTTGCACACTTGTTCACCATCATGACCCCAACCTGTAGACAGGAGGAGGTAACTCTATCAAGCATTTTGACAGAATTATGCCCCTTTTTCGACTTAGAATTTACGTTAAAGTTTTTGTAATAGTTCAAATATTTTCAAAGTCCATTGACATATGGCTTTGAAACTTTGCACACTTGTTCACCATCATGACCCCAACCTTTAGACAGAAGGAGGTAACTGTATCAAGCATTTTGACAGAATTATGCCCCTTTTTCGACTTAGAATTTACGTTAAAGTTTTTGTAATAGTTCAAATATTTTCAAAGTCCATTGACATATGGCTTTGAAACTTTGCACACTTGTTCACCATCATGACACCAACCTGTAGACAAGAGGAGGTAACTCTATCAAGCATTTTGACAGAATTATGCCCCTTTTTCGACTTAGAATTTACGTTAAAGTTTTTGTAATAGTTCAAATATTTTCAAAGTCCATTGACATATGGCTTTGAAACTTTGAACATGACCCCAACCTGTAAACAGGAGTAGGTAACTGTATCAAGCATTATTTTTTACTATCAAGCACTAGAATAGTCGAGCGTTGCTGTCCTACCGACAGCTCTTGTTTTGTTTGTTCTTTTCCTTAAGCTAATACATATCTTCTTGACTTTGATATCAACTTTTTAGACTTTTCTTTCGAAAGAGTATTTTTTTAGCTAGGTAGAATTAATAATAGTATTATTAAAGTGACATTATACGAATATTTTCACTATTATTTTGACCTGATTCAGCCATACAATTCAAAAGATTGACTAAAAATTCTTTAATGGTGACAGACCAATAAATGATTATGACAAATATTCAGGATGAAATATAAAGTTGCCCGAAATATAATAAGGCTGCCCCGCTCTTTTTATCAACTGAACATTACCAATAGTTTCTAATAATATTTATATTATAGAAAAATCTGTGGGTCATGTGGATTATTGGGTATTCATGCAAATTATAAAATTATGTAAAAAAAAAGTATATGTATATCCAAATATATTGATAAAATATTTATTGTATATAATTACAGTCCGGCCCTGGTTATTCGACAACCCTTTATTCGAATACCCGGCATTATTCGAAGTAGATCGGCGGTCCCGTTTTTATCTCTATATAGACCAATATAAATACGAGCGTATTATTCGAAATGAATTATCCGAATACCTCCTATTTTTCGTAGTAAAATTTCGGTCCCGATTATACAATTATGAAAGAATTTCACACCTATTATTCGAAGCCAGCCTAATTATTATTCGAAGTCAGACTAATTGACGCAGATCCACTCGCTGACCGGTGGACTTGTGAAAAATATCAACAGTCATGCGTGTATTTAGACAATCATGATAATAACTCTTTGTGTGTTTTTTAATCAATTTAATTATCGAAAATGAAATTAAAGCTATGCACCGTGTCCGATTTTGTTACTGTTATTGCTTGAAGATGACAGCAATAATTTTCATACATAACGTATAATATGAATTTGTCAAAACAATCAAAACATTTTTTTCATTAATTGTAACGCTACATGAGAGCCTTTATCCTTAATCGAAAATACCAGAGTTTAGCTGTAAATGTAGTGACAACACGGCAATTATCAAGGCTTTGCGCGAAACGAAACGATACATAATTTAGAATAAAATGCAAGTATTTATGTCTTCAATGTCAATACAATAATTTTTACGCATCTTTTCTTTAATATTTATTTTTCTCGATTGATTACAGGGAGTAAGTGTGTTGTAAACGGTAGTTTTGCTATGATTGGTCAAAGTGGAGTAGTTTTCGTCTATCACAATATTTCGATTTCAATTATTCGAACCCATCGATTATTCGAAGTAACTATTCAGTCCCAGACACTTCGAATAAACGGGGTTGGACTGTATGTATACTTTTTGTGTTTATTGTGAAGGATGTTGTTTGTTTTTTTTTGTGATTTACTCAGAATTTGATTTATCAATTCTTGGTGTACATTATTTTCTTTTTAAGAACATTTTTTATGAAACTGTGCTGTTAGATTTTAGTGGCATTTATTTACTGTGATATATATTTTGTTAAGAGATTGAACCATTTTAATTACCAGAATTGAATTATAAAGTGGTAAATTATTAAAAGTGACAAAATATTTCAATTTTTTGTATCATTTCTATGTTGCCTGCTACAAAGTAGCGAAAACATACAGGGATCACTTTTCTGTCATCCCTCTGTCAGAGCTTACATTTGGATACTTAAGTGGCTAGAATAACAATAGGTAATTGTACTTTCCCTTTGATGTCATTCATTCCGTAGCAAATTCTGTGGCTGTTTCCTTTATGTGGCTAAAAAGAACAATAAAAAGGACAATACAGTAGCCACATAAGTGCAGTCTGTCCGTCAAAAACTTGTCTGGACAACTTCTCAAAAACTACTGATGCAATTTCCATCCTTATTTTAAAGGAATAGTCAGTACCAGGTTAAGTTGTGCAAGTCATCAGTATTTGCCAGTTCAATGATTTTTGTTAGAGTTTTGGCCCTTTAATGATTTTTAAGTTTTTTAAGTTTTTGTCTAGGCTACTCCTCTTAATAATAATGCAATTTTAATGAAACTTCACAGGATTAATTGGTACCTCAAGCACTTAATATGTGTATTAAACAGGTTTTCTAGTTGAATGATTTTGTGGCTGAGTTATGGCCCTTGAATGAAGAGCAATAAATTGATTTTAAGTATTTCCAGATGTGTGGAACCTTGGATTCTGTAGGGTATTTTAAAGTTATAACTTTTTTTTTAAAAATTCTGGTAATCAAATTTCCCTAACTTATCAAATTTAACCCAATATTTGTCATACATTTTAAATTAAAATTCACCCCCTCCTGGTCAAAGGGGTTAGAGTCGATGACTTCAAAATCCATTTAACCTCTTTTGGCCCGGGGTTTCGTTTCCCCGGGAGATGTTTTGGTAGTTTAGCACGGGGAAAGGGTTAGGTCTAGTAAAGGTGAACTCTCCAGGAACGAGGGTTAGGAAAAAACCTCCCCTTATGACTAAAAATTACTTTTTGGAAAAAAGGGGGAAAAAATGAAAAAAACCAAAAAAACCCATTTTAATAAATAGTTAGGGGACGAAGGAATTTGGGAAAATCAAAATTGCTTTGCATTTTTATACTGTTTCAAGAATAAACTACACAGAAATTTTGGTTGAAGGTTGTATGGGAAATTATGAAGAAATAAAAACAAATTTGTTTGTCGCAAAATGAATTTAATAATATGGAATGTCATTTATGCATAATAAGATATATAAATTCTTGCAACAAAGAATTTCAACAACAAAGTTAAAGTGTTTGTTATTTACTTCCTAGATATTACAGGAAGTATTTACTGAGAAATCGTATCACCTTTGTAGAATTTTTTTATAAAAACTATATCCGGAAACTAAACCAAGTAAAACTACAGTATCCGAGGGCTTGCATATTGTTTAACTGAGATATCATCATATCATATGTACAGTGTGTCAAATACATATTCATAATATATAAAGATTTTTTTATGTACAAAAATATCAAGATAACAAATGCATCGTGTAACACATGAACAGAATATAATAATATCCAGCAGTATTGTTATTGACATAACATTGTTCACTGAGAAATAAAGGCAAATTTTCTGTGAAAAAAAGCTAAGTTCCTTATACAGGAACATCCCAATGTCAATCCATAAGTTAATAAATAAAAGAAATGTCTTGTACTACTCAATTAGTTATTCATTAATCTTTGATCTTCTCACACATCAAAATACAAATGAAATATACTTGGCTCGGAATAAATACAATAAAACATTGTAAAATGTTAAACAAACATTATTTTTTATTGTCAATTTTTATTTCAGCAGTTATAAATACTTATTGCTGTGGAATGTCACAAAGTTTATTATCACAGTATAAAAAGATGAACAGTTCTGATTGTTTTCATATCACTGTATTTATTTCTTTGGGGCGATAATTCCTTCAAGTTGTGTCTGAAATAAAGAAAAAACCATATAAGATAGAAACAGCAATAAATTCAAGTGTCTGTATTAATTTTTTTTTTTTTTTGGTAATATCATAGATAATATAATCTTTTTGAGACAAAAAGTCTTGTATTGCCTGTATAAAAGTATACTCTTAATTTGTCACACCTGATACTGGTCTTGGTCTTTTGGGAACTTTTAACAAAAAATGTTTTACATTCTTTTTTTACACAATTTTTTGTGTGTAAACCATGACTTTTTCTAAAAAAACATGCATAAGCCCTTGCAAGTGTCTAATAAGCAAATTATACCAGATGTGGTGAAATATCTGCGGAAATTCAACCAAGTGTGAAAACAATTTGATAATGAATCAAACTTAGTTTTTTTAAAATAATAATTAAGCCATTCATCTGGAATGTTTCCCTCTTCTGCCAGTAAATGATGCATGTTGAAGGGATTTGTGTTATACCAGTGAACACCTCAATAACTTGAACATGTGATCGTGAAAGTCTTTAGTTTTAAGGTAGTTTTACTGTAATGCTTTCCCACCCAAAAATTTCTAACATCAGCCAACATCGTAATAAATCAGTCATTTCCAGAAGGTTATTTTTTTCCATCATTGATATTCAATAATTTTTAACCGTTATTAATACCGGAATTAAGTACATAGCGATTAAAGATGAGTGACACTAATTTGTTCAATGCCCAATATTTGGAAAAAATAATGTTCCAAAGATAACCGTTTTGCTATGACATTGGCTGATGTTAGAATTTTTTGGCAGGAAAGCATCACAGACTAAGAGTACCTTGATAACCTTATACAAAGTTTGAAACTGTCAAATTTT